CCCCCCCCCCCCTAATAATGTATTTAGTGCCCTAGTGCTATGCGGAAGCTCTCGTATCATGCTATAATATGTTAACTATAAATGAGTAAACATATGCTTTTAACAATCATTCGATTGTTAAAAAGCATCTCTTCACCAGATGTTACCTTGTTAAGGAAAGTGCTCAACACAAGTCATCATTTACATTTGACATTAAATGAGCCTTGACTCTATCAGATTTAGATTTCCTGCATAATAAGAAACTGAATAGATTTCTGTGCCTGGAGTTAAGTATTTCAGACTGAAGCAAATCATAGGCATAAAAACAGCTGATATGGTTTGGGCTGAAAGAAGTAATGAGCTGTTTCACCCAATAATGTGTATCCAGCCAATGTGAAAGTTGGCGTTTAACTGTAAAAACATTTGTGATGGCTATTTGAGAAGAAGGAGGTGGGATTTCACATCCCTCCTACTTTGGTGTTTAATTCTTTACAGTATTTAGTATATCAGCTGGTATGTATATTCTCACCTTAAGTATTTTTTATTAATCTTTGTCTCATTGAAAAAGAAAATGGTTCAAATCTGGCTTGATAGGATTTAAAATACTAAGCGTTATCATTTGAGTGTATTTGCCTGGATTAATATTAGCCCCTGTGTAGCTCAGTACAGATACTACTAAGATACATACTGTGCTATTTAAGAAACGTGATATTTATTGATCCTGAGAGAGTCGGGTACAAATGAAGCTGCAGTGAAGTTTAACCCTGGGATCATCCTGTATGATGAGGCTGACGTCCTGCTTTGTGAATATTCAGCGGCTAAGGAAGAGATGCTGACAGTGTTGCTAGGAGACCACACACAGCGACTAGTGTGAGAGGCTTGATTTCACCTCCCTCCCCCATTCTTGTCGTCTGGCTGCCTTTCACTGTTTTTTTTTTTCTATCCTCTCTCCCTTCCACTTGCCTCCATTTGCACATTCCCTCTGCTCCCATGCTCCCTGTCCCTGTCTCTATCTTCCCCTCCGTCAGTCTGTCTGGGCAGTACGTTTCCCGCCTAATCATATTCGTCTTCTTCCCCGTGTTGCTATATCAGTGATTCTCTATTTTGTTGGCTTCCCCCATTTTTCACCGTGCCCCCTCCTCTCTCTCTCTCCATTTCCCGCTGCCTCTGTCTCTCCTCCTCTCCTAGCTGTGTGTGTTTCGGGCTGCTCATTCTTCCACTAAACGTTTTGCTCCATCCTCATGCACTGCTTCCTCACCGCCTCTCTCTTCTTCTCCTCCTCTCCTCTGTTTGTTTCTCAGGCTGTGAAGTCCAGCTCAGGTGCTGAGATACCATACAGATGTGGGCTGGAATGGCTTTGGTATTCAGGAGAAACCAAACAAAGTGAAGGATATGTATAGCGCACTGTTTCCTAAATATCTGATAAAGTGAGCCAAAAATATGGTGTTGAGAAAATCCTGATCCCCCCCCCCCTTCCCTGATTTCCTTACCTATTGTCACAGATTTATTTGCTACAACGTGTTAGCAACATGTTAACTATCCAGCCTCTGCAAACGCAAACATACATGTTTTGTAGAAATTTTTCACTTTTATCGAAGCCACGCCAGTGTGATGATGTGTCTGTCCACTCTGCAGTCCTGCTGTCTCACTCACAGCGAGGTAAAACAACACTGCTGGACCGCTTGCTGAGGTGGAGACTGGAGGGCAGAGGGCTGCAGCACAAAGCCTTCCAGTGCTGTGAATCCAGTAGCAGCTATAGAAGGAAAGGTTTTCGACATGAGATACCACAAAATGTACACCCAGAGTGAATCCCCTGACTGCATAATGTTTCACTCATAACTTTTGTTACGCTCATAAATCACACTGTAAATGTTTTACACTGTCATATTTTACATAGGTGATTATGATGTGCCTCGATAAATTCCCGTTTCTCTATAGTAGTCATATTGGCGGAGCTTTTTCAGTTACTGCTATACACACAGAGGGTGTTTGAAGGGTGTTATGGGGGCCTTGAATATGTGTGTGTGTGTGAGTATGTGTGTGTGATGTTTGCTTATGTGCATGAATGAGTAGTTTGCAGTGTTGCATGCAGATTGAGTTACGTGAATCATGGCTCCATCTGCCTCCTGGTTTTAATGAGGAATTCAAGCGACTCCTGACCCTACAGATGCTCCTGAAACAACTTCCTAAACGCTCTCAGTTTATTTGGGTTAGAAAGTGACTCTGGGGATTAATAACAGGCACCCTATATGAGCGTATTGCATGCTTGTAAAAACAATATTTTGCAGCCTGGTCTGATGACACAAACCTGCCTGTAGATATATAAGATGCTGGACTCTCGGTTCTTTTAGCTTGGCTAATTGTACACCAACCCACAGGGTGTAATGTGACAATTGTGGGGCTGCCTACTCAGCTGCCAGATCCTAGAAACCAAAATCAAAGCTCCATTTAACAAAAGCCCAACCTACAGTCACAGCTCCCTAACCTAATTAACATTGAGTCAGCAAACACGGCAGCAGCGGTCGAGGTTGTGGTCAGAGCTGTGGGGTACAAGAATAGCAGTAGCCACGCTGACACACTGGATGACACACTGGGCTGTGACAAAAGAATCACACACAGGTACACAGATCAACATGCCACCTGGCCCAGGTGACAGCGCCTGCTGCTCTCACTGTGTGCTTTTTCTCTTTATAGTAAGACATAGCCGAGCTACTGCACTGGCAGTGAAAATGGTGTGCAGACGATGGTAAACTGCTTAAGTTATCAAAAATATCTACAGAATTAGGAAAACAACAGCACAGCTGGAAAGTGTCAATATATACTTTTGATGTATTTTCATGCTGTATGAAGCATCATAGGACCTTAATTGTAAATCGGGTCTCATTAAACTGGATTCGCATGTGTTCCACCACATTTGATTCATATTGCTTGTTTCCCCCCGTTTTCTGCTTTGTGAGAATATCTGATAATGCGGACCATTAAAATTACTCACCAGCTACACTGCAAACAAGCTTAGCTTAATAATGCATGTCATGTAAAGTGGCTGATTCAATTTAGTTCCCCAGCAAAGCTGTTTAACTCATGCTGATGCCAGGGGCACCGACGATACCACTTGAGTGTCCACCATCAAAACACATTGAATTTCTATTTATGGTGGAAAAACACTAGCATCGTGCATCAGCTGACATCTGCTCTTTTCTTAGCCAATTGCGCTGCACACTCACGTTCTCCAACATGAAAACACTGTTGGACTCCCAGATATCTGCCCCACAACAAGCCTGACTTCACATGGAGGGAGCGTGAGTAGGAAGCTGTGCATGCACTACATATGACAAACCGCATTACTTTCTGGCTAGTAGACAGGCTTAGATAGGCCATCCCAGGGCCTGCAGCCAAAGATGCTCTGCAGCTGATTTACCATGCTTACTCAAATATTCATAACTGGATAATGAAAGTATAAATAGTTTTCATGTGATACACTAGAGGCAGGGGTAAACAAAGCTGCAACCTCCATCATCATCATCATCATGCATCACCGTGTCTTCGCTATGACGGCTGCCAGGTAGAGTAATGGGAAGGATTGTTCACTATGACACAGTGAGCGTGATAAGCAATGACTCCCTTACAACTTTTGCCAGTAATTTGGAGTTGATTATTTATGTTGCCGCATGAACAAAGTAATCACTGTCAATCTTGTCATCTGCATGCAGGCTGGAAAGTTATTAAACTTGTTTTTTTGGGGGGTTTTTTTTAAATGATTAATGAGCTCCTGTTTTCTCTTGTCTAAAGGAGGGCTGCCTGTGACATACATCGCCATCCCCTGAGTCCTCTTCTATACCATGAGCTCTGGCTCTGCCCAGGATGTGGCAGTCGAGCATTTCCTGCGTGACATAGAGAGGCGAAGCAAGCGGCTACACTGCGCTGTGATAGGCTGCGAGGAGGAGCGATCCCACAGCGACATGAACCTGCTGTATCGTAAGAGCCGGTTGGACTGGAGGCAGAGAGACCAAGAGGGAAGTAAAAAGAGGTGAGTGGATTACAATAGGGTTCAGTTCAGTGGAAATATAAGCCTCTTATCCAGTGTGAACGAGTTTAATTTTCAAAATCTTAATTCCAGCCACTGTTCGTGAAGTCAGAAGGGTTCACCTGGAAGTGAATCTCATAGATTTGCATAGCGGCAGGTCATGATGAAGTTAATACGGTCTTTAGATGAGATAAATTAGTAGAGCTGAATTGCACAAGGCAAAAACGGGCCAAAAGCACAGATAGAAATGAGAAAACTGAGTTATTGCGTAATTTCTGAATGCATACACTACAGTGTTATAGTACATGGATACGAAATCAAATGGTTTTTGGCAGTAACATGTTACATAAATCTGGGCCATTCACTCTTTCACTGTTTTTTTAAGAAGCAAGTGTGAGGATTTATAGGTTGACTAATGTACATTTCACGCACACGCCCCCTTCAAATTCTGCAGGCCTGCAGCTTTTCAGAAGCAAAAGAGTAAACAAGGAATAAAGAAAAAAGATTTTAGAAAAAATTCATAAATTTAAATGAGTGATTTTTCTTAAGTACATAATTCTGCACATGGACGTAATGTTAAAGATGGACACATTCACCGTGATGTCACCAATTAAATCTGAAGCCCCAGGTAGAGCATTTTGGCTAATCTGACAGAGAAACCAGTAATGCTGGTTACTGACTGGAACTTTTTCTTTTTTTTCTCTTTTTTTTACGCTGAATTAAAAAAACGAGTTACAAAATTGACAGATAGAATAGAGTAGGCTATGTTTTCTTTGAATGTTTGATTTAAAATATGGTTTCAAATCAACTATTGAGACCACAAATTCACAAGCAAAGTGCTGAAAGCGTCGCAAAATAGTGTTGCTTCCCATAGACTTTAACCCAGTCACAGTTCCTTTTGTAAACAGAGCACTGAACGCCTGCTGACTATAAGAAAGAATACAAGTTTAACTCTTTATCCTGCTAGGAATAAACCTTAAAGCTCTTTTCTGAACGGAGAGGATTCTGTCATATTTCAGGCCTGCTTACAGAACAAAATGAATCAGACATAAATGTTGTCTTTATGGCGGGTAAGCGTTAAGGCACTTTTGTGTTGGTTTCATGATTGAGACGTGCAGGATAGGTAGATCTTTTATTTTCACACTATGAGGTTACTGAATACTTCTTCTGCAGCTGCTTGATTTCACTGTAGCATTGAGGACTTGCTGCTAAACACTGTGCAGTGTGTGTTCAAGGCTATAACTTGTGCACCAGTAGAACACAGTTAGCTGCTGATGCATCACCTCCAGACTCTTTCTTTTTTTTAAAAACAATCTTCCAGCAGAAAAGCAATCATAGTAAATCACAGCACAGAAGTGCGATGTCAACGATATTTAAAGTCCCACATAATTCTGTGATTTTTCAGCCCAGTATAATTTGTTTATTTTTGCAGGACTATCAGAATTAAGATCAGATTTGTATTTAGATACAGGAAGAAAGAAGAGAATCAAACCCCCAAACAAGCAAATTAATTCAAGCACTCTTCAAAAGGGTCAAAACAGACCTAACGTCATCACACTCACGTGACAGCATTGTGCTGAAAAGCCTGTGAGTGAGTGATCTTGTGTATCTGAGCATGTGGTTTGGGGGCAGAAGGAAGGATGTGATGTTCAAATGTGAGTCACCTATAACTAACCGAATTCAGCATGGGGTTCGGGCTATTTGTGCTCGAGAGGAGAAGGAGAGCATCAAAGACAACAATTCAAGTTTGTTTAGATGTGCCATCCATTGCTTTATGACTCACGGCGGTAATTGGAGGCCCTCGTGTTGGCAGCAGAGATCAACGCCATGGCAGCGTCAAGCCAGTGAAGGTGTAGGGCAGCAAGTAGGACAACGGGACACGATGAGTGATGAAAGCAGAGCCGAGTGGGGCCAGAGGAGTAGAGGTGGAAGCGGGACATGACCGGTGATAATTACGAACAGGACAGGGTCAGGGATAAAACTGCACAGGGACAAAAGGGGTGAAAACCGAACGGACTTAAGGGAGGACAGCAACTGCAGACCTGGCTGGAGAGTGAAGGAGACGGAAAGAGTGGAGGGATAAAGGAAGCTGTGCACTGACAGACAGTTTAACATCCCGAGGCTCCCAGTAGACAAATCACACGAAGCGCAGGCGGCTGTGGAGATGCAAATGGTAAATAGGTGAATTTTAATATGAGTTTTAAAAATAGAGACAGTTCCTTATGGCACAAGGCATGAACAATTCCCAGTCGTGACAACTGTAAATAGTTTTAATAAATTCTTGTGCTGATTTGGAAGTGTTAGTGGTCTGGTAGAGGGAAAGCCTGGCAACTCATAGGACGAGAGGTGGGGTACACTGAACAGGTCGACAGTTGTCGGTTAAAGATATTTAAAGGTTGCTCTGAATAGACAACTCATTCATTTCTCTCAAAAAACCCCCCACTTTGTTGTGTCTGTCAGCACGGCCTCATGATAGTAGAAAAACTTAAAAAACATAAAAGAAGAGGTGACTGTCTACAGTGACACGCACAGACAGAGACAGCTGTTGTCATCTTGTGGAAAATTCAAAGACATTATTCACTATGTGGTTATTTAATGTCACGGAAGGAAGGCATGTTTTATCCTTTAGTTCCTTTAGGGGCATTTAAAACTCTCACATGCTAGTAAACAGCCCTGTAATAATATCATTAAGAGAATCAATACACAACGACTGCCTTTGATTGCTTTGGTTAAACCATAAGGCACTTTCACTTTTTGTATCATTTTCTTCTGGTGACAGAAGAAGAATCGGATCACTTTGAAACCACGCTGGTGACAACCCATAACTTAAGGCAATCAATTAAAGTGTCGCATACTGTGTCAGATATGTCACTGAGGTCCAACAGAATGAGGACAGACACACGCTTAGAGTTCAGCATTAACCCCTGACTTTAACGACAGACGACTTGACTGCTCTGATTTGCCTTCGAATCAGATTTGATGTTCTCAAAAATAACGTTCTTTCAGGTCTGATTTAGGTGTTTAAACATAACCCGCTCTTAAACCTTGCCTCCAAGTGAAAGGTGAATTAGAAACAGGACTATATGCTGCTACAGGGGTAGGATGATATGAACTGGATTTCTCCAGCGAACGCTTTATCGCCACAGTTATCGAAGCTTTTGGGAATATCTTGCATTCTGAGAGGGAGATGGAGGTAGTATTCAAGAGTCTGTTCTACCAAAGGTGTGGTTCAAAGCAGAAGCAGATGACATCACCTTCTTCTTCTTTCTAGTGCTTGCTGCGATCAAGACATTAAATTTATCTGCTGGCAATCATACCATTAAGAAAAAGCAAGACAGAGGATGTTATTACAGCATAAAGATTGTTTATGGAAATTGTTTTGACCAATATTTCTGTTAGTCTTGTATTCATGATAAAAAAAAAATCCCATTTGCACAGGAATCATATTGTGCCTTTAATTAACAAGAGCTCATTGTCCTGAAATGGCAAGCTTCATCTCATTCTCCAGTACAGATTTTCATTTAGTGAGGTTTAGAAGTGATGAAAGGCAGATTTTGTAACCTTTAGACAGAGCCGGGCTAAGAGTTTCTCCCTCTTTATAGTAAGATAAGCTAACCAGCTGCTGGCTGTAGCTTCATTTCTAAAATGCAGATATGAAGGTGGTATCGATCTCATTTAGCCCCCGCAGATTATGAGCTTAATGCGAAGCAGCAAGGAAGGTAAAGCAAATATAGAAGTGGGAGTCCTGATACTTTGTGAACCGCTGAGTCTGGTCTCATTTTGAAACTGTTGGAAGCTCCTTCCTTTAGATGGAAATAAGAAAAAACACACAGACTTCAGTCAAAAAGAGCAGCTCAGCCTCTGTTCTGGGCTTAATTTGGCCCTGTTGTATCTGTGTCGATTGTGAAGAGTCACTAGCATGTCTCCGCAGGCATTCAAGGAGATAAAGATACATGTACAATGCACTCTGTTCCTCTAACACACTTATATAAACACACACTGCCTCACACATGAAGAAGGAAAACAGAACCCTCTCTTTTCTCTACGAGCAGCCTCATTGCATTTTCTGCTGCTTGAAATGTTGAATGCAAATCGAAAGCCCCATTTGTCTCCTGTGCTTCACGGGTATTGCAACTGAACTGAAAAGAAAGCGCTGCAAGGCCCATAGTTATATGTCACAATTAACTACTAGGCTGAATAATTTACAGTACTGTGCAAAAGTCTCAAGTGCATCCCCCTCCCACACACACAGTTCTTTATGTTTTGCTTCCAAGGAGCCAGAATTTCTTGTCATTTTGTTATTTCTTTAAGTGGTCTTGACCAATAGTTCTCCTGACTTTCTCACGGTCTTCCAAAGTTGTGTTTTGGACATTTTCTCCCTCTGTTTTTCTGTCCATTCCTTGTACCAGAGGGATGTTTCCATTTGTCTTTTTTAAGGTCTGTGTTAAGTCCTTTAACATGGACCTGCGGATCATTCAAGTATAAAAAGCTACTTAGCCTAAGACATAAACCAAAGATTTGTCTGCACATGACATACAACTGTGGAATGAACCTATTTTAAATTGGGTCTTTAGGCACTTTGTTACTACCAGCCTGTTGCAGAAACACATAGCTTGTTCCCATTTCTTTAGCTGAATGTGTGAAAAATGTCAAATATAACACATTTAGGCTTAAAATAGCATTTTTTGCACCACAAGTTGTTTCCCGAAGAGTTAATCACTGAAAGCCTGGCGCATCTTGGCATGGTGTGGTAAAAAACATGGTATGTTTTTGAGGAAACTAGACAAGTGGATGACAAAAGAAGAGTGGCAGACCTGAAAATCTTCTATGGCACTCAGTATTTGAAAGTCATGTCTCTAAAAAATAGAACAAATCCAGCAAAGACCTGACACAGCACCTGAGAGATACAGTACATCTGGCCCTTCAGTGGATCCATCTACTGTTCACTGAAACTGTTCACTGAAACAATCTGGAGTGGTCTCCGTGGAATGGTGGCTGTCAAGAAGCAATTTTTAAGGAAAGGAAACAGGAAACAAGTAGAAAAGGCTGAGATATTGGACACACGACTGAAATTGTGTGACTGAAATATTGCATATTGGATATGCATTCATATTTAGTCATTTTTGGTTCATATTATTTTTAAAATGTACAGAGTTGGTCAGGAGAGTCTACAGTCATTTGTAAAACATAGTGGAAGCACTGTCTTGGTTTGGAGCTGCCAGTGGTGCTGGAGATGCAGTCAAAAGATCCATGTTGTTGCAGATTGAGATTCACCATACAATGCGTTCTGGAAAGCATCTGATTACGAGGAGCTTCATTTTTCGGTATGAGAGTAATAATAAATTGCCAGTGCAATAAAAGCACATCTGAAAGAAAAAAACACACAGTGACACACAATCAGTCTTGGATTATCCTTCACAGAGCTGGACCTCTACACTATTGAAGCAGTGTGGGAACAATTGGTGGGATCAAAACAAAGGGCAGCCAACATCCAAAAAGAGCTTTGAATGTCCTACGAGAAGCCTGGAGAACTATTCTCGTAGACTACTTGAAGAAATGTCAAGAAAGCTTTTGCCTATTTACATTTTACATAGCAAAATATGGAGGAATGAGAGGTGCAACATCAGACATTTAGACCAAATATGAATATAACCTTCTAAATATGCTCCTTGTTTTTTTGTGTGTGTGTTTTTCTTCTGTGACATTAGACACACAAAATTCTATCACACCTGTGAATGTTTTTTCCTAGTGTCAGTGCTGTGGTTTTGCTCATGATGTTATTGACTAAAGCAAATAAATTTACTTCGATCTCAGTTGGCCAAAGACTTATCTCGTGTTTCTCAGAAGAAGAAGATGACTGAGACAGCTTTGCTTTTTACAATGTAACTAGTGTTTTGTGTGAAGATATGCTCTTCAGCCTCGATCACAGACTGCTGAAAAATACTTGAATCCTGTTGTGCTAACTGTATAAGAGACATATTGTGTGTGTGTTTGTTTTTTTTTTACATGCCCTGCAAATATGTAAGTTACCCCAAAGAAAAAAATACTATTCCAGCTACTGCCCACTTTAGTGAAATGCTGCTGTATTCTGTCAGATTTTGTTTTCTTTGTCAGTTTCATTTTTTTGCTGCAGTAGCTTGTGTCATTGATGATTTCAAAGAGCAAGTATCAAACACCAGAAAATCACAACTGTTCCCATGGTAACAGATGAAATGCTTCTAGTGATCCTGAGAGCAGAAAACAGATGTAGGTTGAATATATAAACATATTTAAAAAAAAGAGAGAGATGAGTGAAAAAAAAATTAAGGGAATTCCAGTAGCAGAGTGCACACGAGTACCTTGCTTATGACAAGGCAATTGGTTTCTAATTGAATGTGTCTGAAGGGTAAGCACACATTGAGGAATACAGATGTGAATGCAGAAAGGTAAAGGAGCCTCCAGGGTGTTTTTCTCAGCAGCAGATGCCCTGCAGGCATTTCTTTATTGCAAAGACGATGTCTGTAGACCAAAGAGAGAGTGAGGAAAAGGGGAGGTCAGTATAAGGAGTACTACATGACTGTTTTACACCTCTCTATGATTTCTTCATGCTACAGTATTTTTCCTCCATTAACACTTTCTTGACCCGGTTCCTTGATTCCAGCTCCACGCAAAATGACCCCTCAGCTACTGTTGGCAAAGTCAGAGACCTGGCTTCTTTCCGACGGCACTTCCGAATGGGTTTCATGACCATGCCTGCCTCCCAGGACCTGTCCCCTCACTCCTGTGCCTCTGCCATGGCGCCGCGCTCGCAGTCCTGCCACGCTGTCGGAGCCGGAGATACAAGTCTAGAGAATGGAGATTACTCAGACACCCAATCTCAACACGGCGGCCGCTGCCCTCCAGCCAAACCCAAACGCCACCCCAGTACTCGCCTGAGCTCCTCGTCTGCTGACAGCAGAGGACCTCCTCCTGAGACACCACCTCCGCCTCCACCCACTCACTCCCAGGCAAAACACTCAGAGAAAAAGAATGGTAGGAAATGTGTTTTCAGGTGCATATTTTACAGAGAAAATTATGTGTTCTTTTGAAATTGCTTTCTTTTTTTTGTTCCCTGCAGCCATGAAGAAGTCTGACTCTGGAGAGATTGGAACAAAGAAGGTGCCTCCTTTAAAGCCCAAGAGAAGTCCCAGCACCCAGCTTTCCTTTGATCCTCTTCCTTCACGTGTGCCTCCTTCTGCCACATCAATGCCCTTTCAGGCATCAGACTCTCAGATTCAGACAGGAGATGGGGATGATGAGCCAGTCTATATAGAAATGGTGGGCCAAGTGTTCACCAGAGACAGTCAGACGGCCACACCCCACCCTGTAACCCCTGTGGCCACAACACCAGACTCTGACTCAGACCAGAGTGAGGCAATCTATGAGGAGATGAAATACCCAATGCAGGAGGACAGGGAGTCCCACAGACACCTCCCTCCCAAACACGAGAAACTGAAAACCTCTAAACACTTTCATGTGACACCTTCTTCTGCCAGCAGCTCCTCTTCGCTGCCACGCCCATCTTCTTCTTCCCCTTCCTATTCCAAACCTAAAGCTACTGTATCAATCTCCCATTCATCTCCTCTGCCTGCCTCTGCATCCTCCACCCCAGTGCCCCAGGTCCTCTCTGCCAGCCCCCACACGCCACGAGCTCCTACACCCTATCTGCTGCAAGGGAATAAATCGGAGCAAGAATCAAACACAAAGATCCCAGCGCCTTTCCCCAATCTTCTACAGCACCGGCCCCCGCTGCTCGCCTTCCCTCAGCCTGCAGCAGCCTCCAGTGGGGTCGGGGTGCAGAACAAGTCATCTGCTTCCACTAAAATGGGAACTCAGACATCAAGCGCAACAACACAAGCGAGCACCTCTTCCTCGGCCTCTTCTAATATTCCTGTATCCCTGTCGGGCTCCAAGGAATCATCAGGAGGCAGTGCAGCGCAGCAGGACAAGCACAGCAGAGACGCCCAGTTAGGCCCAGCTCCTGGACTGAGAGCCAGGAGTCATTCCACGCCCCTGCCTCCTTCCTCTAAATCCACCTCCCCCTTTTCCCATCACCATCATCACCCTCACCATCGCCCCTCACACTACCATCACTATCGGAAGCCAGAAAGAGGAGATTCTCCTGTGCCGACCAAGAGCAGCTCCCAGGCTTCTAACCAGGCCACAGTCCAGACACAAACCTCAAGTACAGGCAAGGAGGGCAAGTCAGTTAGCTTCCTCCTGAAGTCTGACAAAGGTGAGAAGGATAAGGACAGGGAAAAGGACAGAGACAGGGACCGAGACAGAGAAAGGGATAGGGGTAGAGGAGACAGGGACAAGGAAAGAGAGAGAGACAAGGACAGAGATAGAGACAGGGATAGAGATAAGGATAAGGAAAAGGACAGAGAAAGAGACAGAGACAGAGAAAGGGATCGTGATAGGGATGGAGGTCCACACTCTTTACAGTTGGACATCACTACCAGCACGAGCAGCCAAACGCCTCAAAGCAGCACCAGCTCAACCCCCACGCCATTATCCTCATCCCAGCGTCCTCACTCTCGCCCACACCTCCGTTCTCACACGCCTCACGGCCTTCCAGCGTACAAGCCGCCCTCCTCGGACAGCCCCTTGCTATGGACCTACCCCTCCGGTGGCTTCAGGAGGCCCCCGGCTTATGAGAGCTTGAGAGGCAGCTCTCAGACACCATCTCTGCAGCAGCCCTCGAGTCTTACTGGTATTGGTGAAGGTGCGTTCAAGAGCAATGGAGGGTCTGCATCCCTTCAGTCTAAAGTTGGCTTCATGCCTTGGGACAGCAGTGCCAGTTTATCCGCCGATGACGGGTCTTACTGGCCTATGCAGAGGAAATTGTCCTTCAGTCACGGCAGCAGAGAGACAGAGAGTAAGTCAGAGGTTGCTTTTTTATTACAAAGTGCAAATGCCATTAAAAATAAGGTTCTATTAATCCTGTATTCTTTTCCCTTCCCTCTTTCAGAGGATGAAGGCCGGGCATGGAACGGTAGTGCTGATGCCCTGTTAAGGACGGACAAGGAAGAGCTTGGAATAGGGTCTCGGGGAGGCCATTCAGGCATCCCAGTCCACTTCAGTGGGTCCACAAGCAGGGCTCTTGGACACAGTGAGTCACTGGCCGGTGTTGACAGCAGCCTAGGATTCAGAGCTCTGCCCAGGGTAGGGCTGCCTCTTCCCTGCCAGACCTTTCCTGCCTGTCGCAATGGAGGTAGGGAGGCACCCTGGGTTGTTTTGTTTTTTTAAAAAAAAGCTTATATTTTAATTGAATTTAGTTATAAGGTCTAAACATTTAATATATTGTAATTTATATAATAGGTAAGCCCCTTATTAAAAGGATATTAACAATTGTGACCTGTCACATTTCTGGATTCGACTGCATCCTTTCTATGACATTTTGCGGTAACTTTGTCTTGGAATGTACGAACAAATACTCCTGTTTTTATCTTATTTTGTTACCATTCGAAAAGACAATAATTGCTGAATCAGGAATAAACACCAAAATAATTAATTTTTGGTAAGTAGACAGTAACTGTTTAGTACCTTAAATAATGAGCAATGAGTTTGTGTCGCAGATCAAAAGTCTAGCCACATAACATAGCTCTGTGTGCTGAAATGAAGTTCTATCCATCTGCTCCCATTACCAGGCACACAATGTAATGTTTGTTTCCTTACAGAAGTGGGGCGGCTGGGTCGCTCCTCCTCTGCTGCTGGAGTGAGACAGGTGGGTGGAGGAGACGTTCAGAGACAGAGCAGTCTACCAGCACGAGAAGCCTTGAATCAGGTGAATGCACTGTATTATATTCACCAAGCCTTAAAACTACAGTTTCTTTTACCGTCATCCCAGGTAGATTTGAGAGTGAACATTAATATTGTTCTCATTATTACTTCCCCTACTGCTAGAGACACAGCTCCTGCAGATCTATTTTTAGCTGGTAGATATGCCCACTGAGCAGAATAAGGTTCTGGCCTGCCTCAAAAAAAAAAAAAAGAGAAAGGAATATGACGTAGGTTAGTACTCAATCAGTAAATCAGAGGCCTTTGCGGGTTAGAGAACATGCTGTACTCTGTTTTGAGAGGTGAACTGCAGTCTTCTAGCAGCACATTTCACCCGGTTTCTGGCTCCATAGCAAGTGCTGACGCAGTTTGAGTGTGCTGCAGAGACTGTCTGCATGTGTCTGGTTGACCCTCCCTCAAACTGTAATAGATGCAGCAGGACTGCATCCTGGTGGCTGTCTGCAGGAACTGCAGTTCTTTTTTTCCTACATGTGTGAGGACCAGCTGTTACTGGTAACACCACTGCAGTAATCATGTAGGTTTATAAATGAAAATATTATCATGTGATAAATGACTAGATGAAAGCACTAACTTGACTTTTAACCCTTTTGCATTCAGCTGCATAGTTTGGCCCAGCCTCAAGTACCCTGCAGTCCCAGCAGTCCCAGTGGTCCCGGTGTGTCACGGCAGCAGCAGCAGCAGCTTCAGCTACACCAGCAGCAGCTGCAGTTAAAGCAGCAGCTTCAGCAGCTTCAGCAACAGCACCACCTGCAGCTGCAGTTCCAACAGCTCGCCCAGTTGGCACAGGGACAACCTGTTGTCAGTGGGGTCACCACCCCATCCACATCGCAGACCCAGAGAGACGGCAAGTTGCTGGAAGTCATCGAGCGTAAGCGCTGCCTGTGCAAAGAAATCAAGGCACACAGGCGTCCTGACAAAAGCTTGTGCAAGCAGGACAGCATGCCCATCCTCCCTAGCTGGAGACGGACACCTGAACCTCGTAAAACTGGCACACCTCCCTGCCAGAGGCCACAGGCCGTTGTGTGGGACACGGCTATCTGACGTGGAAGTCAGGCCAGCGAGTACAGCACTAGAAGAGATGAGCTGAAGATGGCAGAATTATGAATGAGAGTAAAAATGGATATAGAAACTAGAAAATTCTTTAAATGGCTTTGGTGATGTAATTACCACCAGGGAATGGGAGACTATGGACCAAGAAGAAAACCCTTGATAGCATTTTTATCGTGCGATAAACTGATCTGTGAACAGTAACTGATGAAGGGTACTGGAGACTCTGAACCCATCTGGGGAAAAAACAAACAAAAAAAAATGCTGATTAAGAGGTGAAGAATAAGAAGTATTACAATCAAACTACATGAATTTCTTACAAATTGGATTTGTATCTGCTCTGTATTATGTAGTACACTATGTAAATGTGTTCTAATTGCCAATGTTTTTTGCCACAAAACACCAGTATTATTGCTACAAAAGGAAGACGCCAACTAACTAATAATTAGCGGGTTGTTTTCTGAAGTCGGTGTTGCCAAATTTCTTCCTGACTACTTGATACATAAATTGTGTATTTTCGCCAACAAGCAGGTGTCCAACACGCTTAAAAACTACTCTGTGGATGAGAAAAGGCAAGACTCATAGATAAGTTGCTGAAGTGTTTCTTGAAATTGTGAATGTATATGAGATGTCTTGGTATCAATAGATTGTCATTGTGGATGCAAATAATCATCACCGAGGAGTAAAAGCTACCTACTGTATCTGTTTGCATATTTGTAATGTAAATCTATTTACTTTCTCAACGTTTCTGCAATTTTATAGCAATATCCTCCCGACGCTGGAGCAACATAATTAAAACTTGTGTCAACTAGCCTACAATACATATCTAAGACTTGAAGAAGTCATATTTACTGTGTCATTCTCTGCATGTCACGATAGACATACAGTATTGTAAAAAAAACAACAACAAAAACAAACAAAAAAATCCCAACTAAAATAAAAAAATTAGTGTAGAGATGATCATGGCAAACTTTTACATACAGCAAATCTTCACTATGATAACGTGTGGTTGTATAAAAAGCTGAATATGTTGTTTGGGGGGAGTGGGGGGGGGGGTCCTCATTAGGAAAAAATTAATAAATAAATAGGTGACAGATGGCACATGCTGTGCAGTCCAGCCAAATATAGATACAGATCAATGGTACAAAAAAATTTTTCATCGCTCATGCTTATCCACAGTTGCACATTAGTGATTGTTCCACCACACCGAAAAACAGGCACTCAACACCCATCAACACAGACTGTGCAATATGGTGCAACTGATAAGACTGTGAGTATTGATCACCTCAAACAGAATGCTGGAACAATCTGCACAAAACATTGTATACGCTTAGGACAAGTTAAACCCTAATGTACTGTAAATAGATATGTACAACTCTATTGAAAATGTAGCAATTATTTCCATTTTCATACTTGTAATCAATACATATTATGTAGCATATATTGTATAAACATAACTTTGTTCACTTGTTTTTTCTAAAAGAATTAAGTACTTTATCTGCTGCAGCCAGTCCATGCATTACTTATAGTTCTACTAATAAACAGTAAGCCCTCTAAAGAAAGGCACAGCCCAACAGTTGTTTATTTCAATTTATGCAAGACTCCCTTTAAGCTGTGTTATTGATTTATTTATGCCCTTTTTCTACATCCATTTTTATTTGTGTACAGATTTCCACAGCCCGTTGTCTTGACATTTTTGAATACTTGCTGCTATCTTGAACTACTGGTGTTGTTCACTCAACTATACAGTGTTACCATGAGAAACATTATTAATATAGTGCTTATTGTGAGATATTTGTTTTGGGTTTATTTTTATTTATTATTTTGGTTTTCTTTCTTTCTTTTGTTTTTCCTTTCTGAAAGCCACGTGAAATGAAGTTCGTACCTTAAAGAGTGAGCCCGTCTGTAATAGTATTAAGGCGCTTGAATGTCTCTTGGTTGTTGTCGTTTTTAATGATAGTAAGCACCAAACTGTACAGTACAGTACACCCAGTGAAAAGAAGACCTATCTAAGTGTTTGAGAGTCACTACTTGGCCTTTTTTGTTTTTAGCTCCACCTGCTCGCGTTTGAGGATCAGAGTCCATTTTCAAGCAAACACAGGCCAGGTTGACGGAAATGGGCAAGTGCAATGCATGCAGAGATTCCTTACACTGAAATGCTCCAATGATTCTTACTATTGTGCCCAATTTTGATTGCTGATACCAAGTAATCACCTTACTATGATTCCTTTTCACGGACTGATATGGAACCCTCGGTATCATTTCCAGAATAGTTTACAGAAGCTGTTGGTTTTGTGTGTCTTCTAAAAACAGTGGCCATTATATGAGTGCCATACTATATTGATATGGTAAGATACGGTGTACCTTGGAAATCACTGTAGTGCTATATTTGCATTGATATTGTCATTGAAAATAAATTTTATATAATGAACTTTACACAACAAACACATGTTGTTTTCATGTTTTCACGCCACATTCTGTTGTGTCTTCGTGCATGTGATAATCCAGTCAGCTCTTTAAGATAACGCATACACGTAATAGCCATTTGACTCAGTAACCCTTGACGTGTCCTTTATCATTTGGATTTAACAAGGATTTCACATTTTAACCTCAGCTATGTGAAAATGAAAGCACACCCTCTTTCAGTTCTAAGGTGTATCAGGACATTTAAATGATCATCTGGTCCTTACAAAGTTCTACAAGTATGTAAAAAGTGTGGACATACTGAGTGTGTCCACACTGCACAGTGTTATTATTTCATTTTTAACAAAATTAAGCTAAAATGTCAATCCAAAGGGAGTATGTGAAAAACTAAGTACTCCCTTACTGTTTTCAGACTGATTATGAAGATAAGTAGCAGCCAGCTGCTGCTAATCGGATGCACTTCATTAACTGATCATGATCAAGTGTGAGCTCCTCTGTAAAAGCAGAGGTTTTGATAGTTTGGAGCATTAAACCACAGGGCCTCTGGAATGACAGAGGCTCTGTGTCCTTTGACAGAGGACATCATTCCAAAGTGGACATATAGGTTTGCACTTCACTGTGCTTAGCAAAACTAAACACAGCAAATCAGCACAAACACCTCATACCAACTGTCAAGCATGGCACTGAACAAGTAATGATTTGGGCAGCTACAGGACCTGGGCACCTTGCAGTTGTCGAGTTGACTCAACTCATCTTTATAACAAAGTATTCTAGAGTCAAATGTGAGGTCATCTATCTGACAGCTAAAGGTTGGCCCAAACTGGATCTCATAACAAGACAATGGTCCTAATCACGGCAATGAATCTAAAGCAAACGAAAAGAACCAAAGTGTTGCAATGGCCCAAATCTAGACATCAGGATGACTAAAATGCTGTGGTGGTACTTTAAGAGAGCGCGCAAACCTCAATGAACTGAAGCAATGTAAAGAACAGCAGTCCAAAGGTGTCCACATGAATGTAAATAACTGATAAAAATCATACAGAAAACATTTAATTCAAGTTATTGCTGCTAAAGGTGTTTATAATAAACCATAGATTTGTGAATTTTGCTTAGTTTTAAATGCAATACTTCTGCAATATTGCTTAATTTTTGTTAAATAATTAAAGACAATGTGTAATATGTATGTTGTTCAATCTGTGGTTCTATTTGGCTAATTTAAGAACCCCGTAAGCTCCAGATTCTAATAAGTTATACGGAAATATTTAGAACTGAAAGTGGGTGACTGTATATTTTTGATGTGTAAACGATGTTAATAATGTATATATAGGGTTTAATGTAATTTCTATGTTATCCTTTCAAAAAGCCTCATTCTCATTTACTGCTGTTTTTAAAAGGAAAAAAAAAACGAATAAATAAATTCTCCAAGGCTTTCCTGACATAACTTGATTCAAAAATAAATAAAAGCCTGAATGGGACATAAATTAGTCACCTCAAGCGGACAGTGAATTCACCAACAGAGACACTTTACGGTCCATGAGGGATTATTAAAATTATTCTGTTGATTTTTCTTTGGATACGTGACGTCAAGAACCACTTAGCCAATAAAGGGATGCCCTAAGCCACCAAGCGATTTGCTCTGAGGCTTGTCTCTCGTGCATCAGGAGTGAGGATCCCGAGCAGGTGATTGGTCAGGCGGGTGGAGTAGGCGGGAGCTGCTGTGGATCGCGGCATGCGGGAGGAGGGTTAAGGCCTGCGCTGGTGCGTGCGTGTTAGGATGTATGTGTGGAGAGCGGTGTGGCGCTTGTAGAGGGAGGCGGAGGGAGTGCTTTACCGCAGTATCACTACATTTCTGCACCACTCATCAAAACTCTGCGGCATGCAGACAAGAGCTGGGGGGGAGGGCAGTCACTAGGTCTGTTCTGAGTGTGAAACTGCTACCTCTTCTGTTGGCCTACCAGTCCTTCATATAATCTAGGCTACAGCAGTGCTTTTACTTTATTTATTTTCATGCGGGCTTGTTGAGTGTTTAAGTCGACTTCTTTAATGCCGGTCTTCTTCCTGTAGGAGCAGTGATACGGCAGGGCTCTCTCTCTCCTTCTCTCTCCATCCCTCTTGTTCTCTGCTGTCAGGGCAAAGTGCTTCAGCCCGGCGCTCAGTGTCATCAGGCCGCTTTTAGTTGAGCTTTGGAGCAGTTCGTTAGAAAATGGCAAAGGATGGAGAAAAAAGCGATTGGAAGGAGTTTCTATGGAACCCGAGGACGAGGGAGTTTCTGGGCAGAACGGCGAGCAGCTGGGGTAAGTGCTGTCCAGCTACGGCAATGCAGCAAACAGGGTCCCCCGGCTCTGTAACAGGTCTCTGCCACAGTGGTTTCCCCCCCTAAAGGTTCGCTAAGATGCTGTAAGAGAGAAATGAGCGTGTGTAACCATGACATGAATTTCGACCCTGCTTGAAGTTAGGCGGTAATTTCCTTCAGGCGATGAGATGGATGTCGCTGTCCACTACAGGTTGGTGCTGAAATCTGACTGCGGCACCGCTCCTGTGGAAGCCAGCTGAACCCCTCCACCTCCCCCACCCCAACTCCTGTCTACTTTATTAATTTAATGTATTTTTTCTACAATGCTTTCCCTGCGCATTGCGCCCAGCATAAGGGATGAGGCATTGGGTTTTATTTTACATTTGGATAAACCTGATTACAGCAGCATTGCTGAAAATAAAAAGGCTCCACTTTCTTGTAAAGTGCATGTAATCGATTCTTCTCTCCTGAAGAGTGATTTAGTTATAACTATGACTTTCATTCTGCTGCAGAGAAGACTTTTTCTAGGAAAGCGGCTTACTGAAGTTGTACAGAGATTTGTTTGCATGCCCGTGGCTTCATCAAGTGTGTGCAACATGATGTCATTTATTTCCAGGCTTTTCCCCTGAGATGCTGAGTGACGATCAGGTCAAATCCTCTTTTTAACACCTTAGTGTTGCCATATACTGACACATTTTCTGCTATACAAAGACCCTGCAACTAGTTCAGAGATTCATGAGATGACAGGGCGCATATGGCTCTGTTCTAATGACATTGGAGCATGTTTAATCTGGGTAAAGCCGAGGGCTAAATGCTATTTGTATCACCTCCAACTCGACCCCTCCCAGTGTGTGTAAATCAGTAAGGGATTTAATCCTAATCTAATGAGTTCATTGGCTGGAGAGGAAGGTATCAAATTCAGCGTGCTCTGGCAAAGTAAAACATTTTTAGGAACTTGGATTCATTTTCACATTTTCACTGAAGATCTGAGCTCAGAGACTTGAGTTTAGCACTCGAGGCTGAAACTGTGTTAAATGTAGTCTTTACTTTGAGTTTGAATTTTCTGATTATTTTTCATCAGTGCACATATATCATTCTTTCAGTGTGGGGCTGGGACTCATGGACTGTAGCTTCCTTAACTGGAATCCTCCCACAGTGTACAACTTAATCCAGTCCAATGTGCCCCAGGTGCTTTAAGGTCTGTTGGCCTTTTTAAGCTGCGCTCTCTGAGACTTAGTAATTAGGCTATTTCTGGAGTTAGCCACTACATGTAGGTCTGCTAAACTTGGCTTTTCAGAGTAGCACTTTCTCATTCTCCTAATGCTGTACATACTGTACCATTACTTCCAATGTGCTGGCAACACGGCCTAATCTACTCGTGATACAGTTTCTTACGGCTTGCACTGAAGAGGGGTTTAAATGCAGGTTTCCAGTCTCTTTAAGGCATTAATGTGTTTCTGCAGCACAATGCACATTCAAAGCATTAGATCAGACTTCTTTGAGGATGAGACGCAAAACACTTCCTTTTGTGTTCTGCTTTCTGTGAAGAGCTGTAATGATATGGAAATAACCTTGATAAAGGAGAGCAGTGCTGCAGGTTTGTTGTTACACATGCCACAAGCTGACACAGTGAAACATGGTCAGACAACTAGCTTGACTAATGAAGTGTTCTGGACCTCCCACTTCCAGAAACAAAGTCCACACTGCAACACAGGAAGAGAACCTCAAAGGGCCTCATGGTGACCAGAATCACGGTGCTCTTTGTTACTTTAACATTGTGTACGAGATAATTAGCAGTGTTTGCCGGCGAAAGAGCCACAGCTCAGAGCTATCCACGCTCTCGCCAGACCTTTTCATTTTTATTTCAGAGGTGCGTTTGATCAGCAAGTTGCAAAGCGATTGAACAGCATGTCCTCCCAATTAATTGTGAGAGAAAAAAGGGACACCTCCTGCCATTATTACCGAAGAAAGAACAGGGTAGTGGACCATCCGAGCCTGTCCTTTTGTTCTTTTCTTTCAATCGCCGTCTGCATACAAAACCAGTGCGAAACAGAGACGCCTCACTGTCCATCATCAGCATGGACTGAGAGGGCAGGCTGTAAACCCAACACCCTGTTTGCCAGGGGGGGAAGCCACCTTGCCTGCACGCTTGATCCCGTCTGGATGTGCGCACATTCATTCTCCCTCTGGGTGGTGTCATATTTGTGGTTAGCACAAAAATCCCCCCACCCCCTTGACGACAGAGACAAACACTTTGCCACTTTTGTTGGATCGTAGCGTCTCTCTTGCTGCGTTGCCTCCAGCATAGTTCATGGTCTGTGTATAATTAATAACTGAGCTTGTGTCTTTTCTGTGGTGTAGATGGGATGCTCATTGTCATCCCACTAAGGGATTCGTTTTTATTAGATTCTAAAACTTCAGGTACAGTCAGGCAAAAAATGCACACACAAGCTGTGCACACAAGCTGTAAATCATCAAGATACCCCTCTGCGATTGCCACCCCCCCTCAATCTCCCCTTGACATTTTGCCAGTCTGGCAGCGCAGGGAGACAAATGCGATGCTGAGCCTGCTGACTGAGGGAGTGAGCGCCACGCTGGGGGCCATCCAGCAGAGGTGCAGGGTCAAGGCACTCAGCTGCCTCCCAACAATGGCCTCAGGTGTCGATGCTTGAAATGTGGGATGCGTCACATACATGTTCTGTATGTGGATAGGAAGCAAACAGCTGCT